ATCACATCAGCTGTTAGTTTCGTTTAGTTTTGGTAGATGGCGCTGCAGCAGTGAATCTATTTGAGTTTTGCCAGCGCCACCAGCAGGAGTGGGGTGGCCTAGTGTGTTAGGTGCATGACGCTCGATCAAGAAGTCGCGGTTCGAATCCCGATCGGTGCAACACTGATGTTTTTTTTTTTTAATTGTTTCAAAATATTTTTATATTTTCATAAATACGTTTTCTATTTAATTTATATTTTTAAATACACCGAAATTGAAATTTTAACTATACTTTATGTGCGTTTTTAATAGTTTGGTTATTCTAGCAGATTCTTAGAATCACATCAGCAGTTAGTTTCATTTAATTTTGGTAGATGGCGCTGCAGCAGTGAATCTATTTGAGTTTTGCCAGCGCCACTAGCAGGAGTGAGGTGGCCTAGTGTGTTAGCAGCATGACGCTCGATCGAGGAGTCGCGGTTCGAATCCCGATCGATGCAACTGATGTTAATTTTTTTTTAATTATTTCAGAATATTTTTATATTTTATTAAATGAGTTTGGTATTTTATTTATATTTTTAAATACATCGAAATTGAAATTTCAGCCATACTAAATGAGCATTWTTATTTGTTGGGTTCAGGGTAGTATCTAGTCGAGCACTCTCGACTAGAGTTTTCTTACTTGTTTTCATTTGAAAACGGGAAACGTGAAATATAAAACTTCAATTGATCAGCAAGGGACATGCCTCAGGCTTGTTGAGTTGTTTTGCTTCAACACTTCTCGGACAAACACACACAAAGAGGCAGATGAAACGGGTGCAGGCGTTGCTCCAACATCGATGAGCACACTACACACTGAGCACACAAGCTCACACTCACATACACCTTTAGCTCCCACACAGCACACTGAGCACACACAATCACCAACACCTTTACCTTACCAAACACAGCACACACACACACACCCACACACGTAATGTACTATGTGCGAAAAAATCAATAAATTGTATTTTCTTTTATTTTTGTTGTTGTTTCTGCTGCTGTTGCTGCCTCTGCACCGAAACGTAGATTTTTGCCAATATAAATCTTCGGCGCGCTTAAGCCCTTTAAGCATTATCAATGCCAAAAGGCTGCGGAGCACAGACTTGCCACAGTGACTGCCGCCTGTAGTGGCAGGTGCAGCCAAGCAAGTGGACAAAGCTTTGAGGCATAAAACGAATATCAAATGCTTTCCTGTTGAGCCCTCCCAGTGGAGGCATTCAATGAATAAGTTAGAGTTCTATGACTTCTCTGAAACTTAAATCAACTGCCGCAAATATTTCACAATGAAAATCGTAAAAGATTAATCAAAAACTAAAAATATTACGAAATTAAAATTTAAGTAAATATTCATGATGCTATATAAACTATAAATTAGAGGCAGTAACAACTCATTAGTAAATATACTTTAATGTCTAAAACATATTTGAAAACGGGTGAGGCTCATCTCATGAATAAAGTTGGGAATTCGACAAACCCCGAACAAGGCTCAGCCTGACAAGAGAACTGAAGCAAAATGCATTTATGCAAAATAATGCAATATACGTGCAGCAGACCGTTATAATTGTCATATGATGGTGAGGAAGGGGCTAGCCTGGACAATGGTCAGACCGACTATGCAGGCAGGACTGGGGTGTTGGCTGCAGTAGAGTTCAGCAGACGCTGTCACAAAATTGCTTAATTTAGTGCACAGAGAATTATCCAGTAGACGAAACCGAAGCTGAACTTGGGGTTGACAATTTGACACCGACTCTGGGTAAATATTCGAAATGACAGACAAAATACGAGATATACAACACATATGTATAAGTACACTTAAAAATTCCAATCGAAATTAACCCCAATACACACACACTTACACCACACAACAAGAATAACAGCAACAGGAATAGCAACCAACAGAGGAACCCCCAAGTGGAGCAGATCCTCACAAAACCAGACAAAATGCCCACCCAGGCGGACGAGAATCCCGACAATGGGACGGCAGTGCCGCTCGATCTGGGGGTCAATGAGTGTGGCCCAGACCTCAGTGCCAATCCAAAGAACATTGGCTGGAACATAAAAGAAAGCAGCACAGACCCACAATCCCCAGCACCCACTGTGCAGCCCCCTCCTTCCGCTGAAGCGACACAAGCGGCATCCACTTATCTGACCGAGGTGCAAGTGAGCCACAAGCAGATTACGGATCGGTTTGTCGAGCTGCTTAATCTCTTCGAGGACTACTCGAAGATCATGAAGGAGAGCGAGCAGGCAACGCAGCCGAAGCTGAAGCGCACGCAGTCCGAGCAGTTCACAACGACACATTTCCAGCCGGCGAACAGTAAGTGCGGGAAACCGGGGAAGTATCGGGCAAGTTCAAGCTCAATTTCAGTTAGATAGGTTGAATAAATCGATAAATATCGATAGTGATTAACTATATAGCATTCATCTAATTCGATAAATGATTTATAGATAAGCCATCAAAAGACGCATATCAAAAATATCTATTATTATTTTAGATGTTCCTCTGAGATTCAGTTAAATTATATATTGGAATTTTTACAATTATGAATTATGCATAACTGTTTAAGGGATATCTCTCTTTCAGGTGATTGCAGTGACCAGGTGAAGACAAGCGTCAGTCTGAACCGCATGCAGTTGTCGGAGTCCACGCTGCGCTGCTCACGGCCCAAGTTCTTCTGTGAGATGGCTAGCCAGACCCCTTGGACGGATCCCATCGAGCAGAAGAAGCTGCTCAAGCCGGAAAAGTTAGAGAAGCTCAAGAAAAAGGAGCCGCAGCAGCCGCCTGAGCAACAGCTGCTGCAAACTCAGTCGCATACCCTGCACATTGAAGTAGAGTCGATAAGCTCAACGACCGCCCTGCAGCGCGCTCCACTGCGTCAACGTCTGTTGCAAGTGTTGCACGAAGCGGGTCAAACGGTGATTGCCTGCTTGGCCATGATGGGCGAGAACTTCACCTATGTGCTCTTCGTCCTGCTCTGCCTCTGGTGTCTGTATCTGATCATCGCGCACTACTACAGCTTCATCGAGGGCAACATGGGCCAGCAGATGAGTGTGAAGCACCCGCTCACTCGCATCCACTCGTAGCCGCTTGGCTCTGCCCCCACTTTACTGATGAGTCGTCCCTTCAATTATTTATCCATAGTTAAAATGCAATTGAAACGAAAGATCGATGATGTAAGGAGTGAGAAACCTTCTTTATGTCATCGGTCTTTCGAAAGTCGAATTAATGGATTTGTAAGAATGCCGCCAAGAAGATCTGGTAATTCCCGTAGATGAAAGATTGTTTACTACATTTTTGTCTTGATAAGGATGTTTTCAAAATAAAGATTTCTTTTCAACTTACTGTTACAGATCAAATTAATTTCGGCAGATGCAAGATCTGTACCTATTATTCAGGAAAAGAAGAAGAGCCTTTTCATAGGCTCACTCGTGTCTGTTCCTGGAACTGTTGCTCGATAGCTCAAATGAAATTGAAATGAAAAATGAAACACTCGTTAAACACCACCCATATTTATCGAAACATACTGGGGGTACAACAACACATGATGGCAAGACTACAGTAGAGGGCCGATGCGAAATCGGTCAACATATAGCAGAACCGGTCGGCCAGGGGCGGGCGGGTCTGCATGCTGGGTGTAGGCGTGGACATCGTATCAATGTATATTGTCTGGCGACTCATTTCACAAGGTGCTGCTGGGACGCCACGCACTTGTCGAGCCTTGAACGTTTCTATCGGCACCTGATTACGCTTCCGGATACGCGGCTGTTCCGTTTGACAGGCGATATGCGTAGACTCCTTGATTGACTTTTGTTGCTTGCGATAAATTTCCAACTCATCTTCAGAGCAATCTGCGGAAAATAGTGGATAATCAAAGCAGTTGGCGGTACGAACTAAATTATGACTGAGATGTTCGATCTAGGATCTCAATAGTTCCTAGTTCTTGGTCTTTGTTTATGGGAGAGCTTCTCATTATCTGTGCTGATTCAAAAAGAAAACATGTTTACGCTAAGATAGATATATGTTGATCGCCTATGCTCTACTCGTTGAGAAGTATTAATATAAACTGATGGATTCAGCTCAACAATTCAGTTTAGTGTTAACGGATGAGGAACAAGGCTAAAGGTCTAGGACTATTTGCTTAAGCGCCTAGGACATCACTTGTGCCATCAGTAACTAGCGGGTTGAAGTCTTTTGATTACCTGCAGCCAGAGCCTGTTCTAGCCAAGTGTGCCATTTCTGATTTGGTTGGTTGGCCGGGTAGCCGGTTGAGGGATCCGCGGGAGCTGTAGCGTCTATGCCCTCGTGTGCCATCTTGCTCTCCAGGTGAGCAGCTTGTATCCTGACGTTGTCATCGGCGCCCTGTCGGTCGCATTGTGTGATGCCCAAAACCTCAAAAAGCTTTTCGCATGGCCCTATTTGAATATGATTTGAATCCTTCGTCAATAAACGCCGATCGCTAATAACCTCCTGAACTAACTCAGCTATCAGGCTGTCTATGACGATGGCACTATTTGTCGCTCTAAAGGCCATGAAGCAATAAAATTTCGAATTTTTTACAAAAACTTTTAAATCAAAACTAACATATTAAAAAATATATAAATAAATGAAGCATCCCTGTTGAACTGTCAAAAATATTGAAAATGTATTTGGTTTGAGGTCTGGCAAAAAAAAAAACAAAAACAAAAACATAAGCCAAAATTAACAATGGACGACGAGAACAAGAAGCAGCGGGAAACGCACGTGCAACTGCCCGATGCGAACATGAACGAAACGGAGACGGACGAGCCGCAGCAGCAGCAGCAGCAGCAGCAGCAGCGGCCACAACAGTCACAGCAGCAACAGCTGCAGCTGGAACTGGGACTGGAGCTGGAGGAAGGAGTTCGAGTGGAGCCGAGATTCGTAAACTTCGACTGGCAGCAGCGCCAGCAGCTCGACGAGGCCAAGGCTCTGGTCAAGGATATGATTGACTATATGCTGCCGGCAAGCGAAACTGAAAAGGATGCAGAGGAAGCCAGCAAAATAGCACAACTGGAGCAGACAACAGCAGGAGCAGGTGCAGCAGTTGAAGCAGTCGCCAGTTCAGTGCAGTCGACCGATGCGCGTTTGCAGCGCATTCTGCGACTGCTCGACTGCTACACCCGCAATTTGGAGGAACACGTGCTGAGCGTGAGACGCGGCGAGACTTGCACCTGCACGGAGCTACAATTGACTCAGCACTGTGAGCTGGGCACACAGACGTTGCCCCTGAATAGCCTGCGAGTGGATGTCACCAGCACAATCAGACCCAAGATCAATGCCAGAGACATTCAGCTACAACAGCAGCAGCAGCAGCAGCAGCAGCAGCGACAACCACAACAGCAATCGCAGCAGCAACAGCAAACTCATTCAGATACAGCCTCAACCACACCCGCACCCCCACCCCCACCCGCAGCAGCAGCAGCAGCAGCAGCCACAGCCACAGCCGCTCCCTGTGAGCGCAGATATCACACAATCACAATTAGCGCGAATACCACCTCGGCGTATGCCTCACGTCCGCGGCCGAACACGCTGCTCGGCCGGATCGGGCATACGCTGGGCGACTTTGCTGGTGCCTGCTGCCTGTGCCTGCAGGTGAACAAGGATTGCGTATTTTGTCTGGGCTTCTTTATAGCCTTTGTGATAAGTGCCAGCTTTCTGACCGCGTTCTTCTATCGCACCATTAATCTGACGCAGTCGTTGCGGCCCAGTCCCATTGACTCCGGCGATTCTGCGGCAACGCCCGGCAATATGGTCACACTGCGTTTCAACGGCGGCTATTATTACATCTACAACAGTCAGCGGCAGAATTTTCTATAAGTCGGAGTCCTCTACTCAGGATGCGTCAAACGTGCAAACTAACATTTTATTTTATGTTTTAAAAACTCCTCTAGAGTATTAGTCGCGTATTTTTCTCCCACATACGTATGAAATACTATTAAAAACAAAAGCAGGCTCCATTTTGTTTTGGATACCAAATATCTAAGAGTTCTTTATGCTAGATATCAATTTAAAAGAGAATCATTTGCATATATACAGACATATATATGCCCTCATATAGATTCAGTGAAAATCGATAAATATATTGAGAAAATATTGATCTGGCTAAAACGATTTCGTTTTAATTCCTCGTACAGCCTAAATTTTAATATATGATTCGCCCATAAGCTAAAATTATTATTAGATAAATATTTTAATATACTTATTTTTTCATATAGTATATGAATAAACGGATAAAAGGCTATACATATATATTACATAAGGTTTTCAATGCCCATAAATATTTTCGAAAAACAATTTACTTTGCATTACAAATTGTATTTTAATTTTAAGAAATATTGTCCATAAATTAATAGATTTAGGGATGAAGCAGCAATTTACCGATCGAGTATATTCGGATAACTTTTAGAAAATATTACAAAACTGATAAGTATAAAATATATATTAGACAAACCGTTACGAATTGTGTATGTCATTTATATGAAATCACCAGTTTTATTAAACGTTGTATGTATAATGAATCGAAACTTATATATGAAAGCTCTGACAAATTCATTTCTTACCTATAAAGCAGATGAGAACAATGTTGTGCTTTTAATGGAAGTCTTATCAAAAAGAAATTTGTTATATTATGAAAAATGACTTCATTCGAATGGAAAAGTAAAGTTAACTTTGATCAAAGTAACAGCTGCTATATGTACGGAGCTCTCGAAATCCTTCACATTTATCGCTGACAACGGAGAGGCCGCTCTCGAGTGAAGTCGAGGCAGCTACCACAAATAATTGTTTAATTTAGTGAACTCCGGGCATCATCTTTTACATAGAGCTGACAAAGAACTCTTTCGGAGTTCAAAGTCGGCTTTGCTTTTCGGTTCCCAGTTCACAGGGCAGTTGCAATGCCGCAGCATTTTGAATGGTTGACAAACGTCACGTTTGAAACTGAAGAGTCCGCAGACCGAAGTCCGGGCCGGACTTTGTGGTGTTCATTGTGCAAGGCCCATCGTAAGTTGTGCGTTGTCCTTTGCCAGCAGCGCTCTCCGCCATACATATTTTGTGCTTCTTTGCAGTTTATTTTGGTTTTTGTGTCAGGCGTCGCATTTAACTTCAACTGACAATGGGTCACAAAACGGCGTCCATGGCACATGCCACAGCTCCCCGTTTGCAGCCGAAATTGGCCACAAAACGTTCGTCGCCTGCTGTGCGGGCTAACAAAATACAAAAACTTTTTGGCAAGATGCCAAGCACTAAGGAATTATTGTTAATATAGGCTGCTCGGACAGCCGGAGTCGAGCCTGTGCTGGGCCGGCTGGGCTGGCTGGGCCGCCTGGCCTGCCTGGCCTGCCTGGCCGGAGCACCAGCTTTGAATGTAATTTATTTATGCGAAATATGCCAAACATTTTGAAAATTCAACACTCCACACATAACATGGACGTACATCGCAAATGCCGCACATAATATACACTATAAAAGTTATAACACTGAAGCTTTTCAAAGCCGAGCCGACACTAAGTGGCGCAGGTGAACGTGGAGATTGGGACTGGAAATTAAATCTTTACGCTCTCTGACTGTTTTTATATGCTTCTTTTTCTTATGGCCCAATGACATTGGCAGGCCCATGAGCAATATAGTTTCTACGACCCTACTAAAATAGTGACCATGGAGGGCACATCGTAAAGTAACTTCACCTGGGAATCATATGCTCATATTTATGACACAACGACTAGAGTGCTATGCTCTACTTTGAATTGCAGCTGGAATAATATTCTATTATATGTTCCCGAAATTTTCTATTATATAGTATGTTTAATATATCAAGCCTACCTCTTTAGCTAGTCTAAATATTAGATTAAATCTATTCTCTAATCAGTAAATGTTTGTATATATTATTAAATGGGAGAACTGAGCCGAATACGAAATCACAATTATTATATATTATGTGATACATATTATATAGGAAAACTGAGGTATACACGAAATAATGGAAAATAAACATTCAAGTGCTTGTATAAATATAATTTGCCTCGAGCACTGATTTTATTTAAATATTTTGTTGGGGCTATTGAGTAATTTTAATTGAAACTAAGGTGAGTTTGGCACACACATAAACAAGGAATTGAGATGAAAATCTTATTGTGTACAAATTCCACCTTCAAATATTCGACACTGCAACCGACTGACAAAGCCCATGCCAAAGTCAGGCAGCTGTTGGCTCATGTAAGCGGCGCACAAATGATATGTGATATATTTTATTGGAAGCCCCGCCCCGCTCCTCCCGCCAGAATGGCAGATGGGCAAAACGGATAAGCTGTGTAGATAGCGAATTTTACAGAATTGATTTCTTATTTATTTATTATTTCATGTTATTTTGTATGCTTCTCTATCGTTCCTTTCTTTCTCGATTATTTTTTGGCACTGTGCGGGGCACAATTAAAGTTGGAGCGCACTGAAGAAGAACTGCCAAACAATTTGAACACTGCTTGTCAAGTTGTGTGCTCGAGGGTGCTCGCTTTTCATTCTTTTTTTTTTTTTTAAGGGAGAGATGGAGGTGCCGATGTTTATTTTTTATTTTATTATTTTATTTTTTTTTTGCATTGGGCTGAGCAGAGAGCGACGCGCGTTTCCGCTGGCAGGAAATTGAATTGCACGAGCACGCGAAATTACATCATTTTGGAACCACGGTAAACAATTTCCCGTTCACCTGGCTAGCGAGTGGGGGATGGAGTAGGGCTTGTATTAGTGGTATTGGGAGCCAAAATATTTGTTGCTAGGCTGCCGACTTGTTAACGGCAATTTGAGCTAAAATATCAATTTCACTTTTGCATCTATTTTTCATTTTCCATTTGAGTTTGGAAAAACGAGAAATGAAAATGAGTAAAAATAAAGTTATTATATATATGCATCTTTTGCCATATCGGCAGAGCTCAACTGCACTCGAGCACAACCTGGCTGCGCTATAAAAAAATAAATGATAACACACGATAAACGAATAAAAACTCTGGCGCAGGGAGTGACCGATTCACAGATACCCCGAGCTTGCAAATGACTTAAAAATGAGTAAACCTCAAACCATTTTCACTAAGGTACAAATTTCTCAGTAATATAATTTGTATTCTAATTTGGCTTGGAATCGAAACTGAGTCTGCTAATTTCGTCTACCATGCGCAGGAGTTCATTTTCTGTTTATGAGGTAGCGAATCAGATACTAAAGTAGAAGCTGACATCTAATTGAAACACACTCCAATCGCACTTGTGATGGAATAAGAGTGATAAAAGACTAACGAATAGGGTTGGGACTGATAAAGCATATACATATATACTTGGACTGGTCGGTCACGGTCCCCTCTGCCTTTTGTACATGCGTTTCAACATAAGCATTATACCCCTAATTCGCACTGACAATGGGTCCAGGGTATACAAAACAGACAACAGGCAATCAAAATGTCTGCGAGCTCGAACCAGACAATGACAGACAGCATATGGACAGGATAGACACACGGCAGAAGGCTGCTTTAAAAGTTTTAATGGAAATTATATTTATTTCTCATTTCAAGAAATAGAAAAGAAAATCAACATGTTTTTCAAATTAAACTGAAATTTGTATACTCTACATTCCATTTATCAATTCAATCAATTCAATTATCTTCAAAAATTCGAAAGAAATAGCATGATTTGAATCGCATAAATTTTAGTTTGACTTTGGCACTGAACAATAAAAATGATTGGAGCGAAGAAATAGTGAGTAAACTTAAGACCTTTAGAGACAATGTGAAATTGAAACAACTATAAATATGTGACAATATATTCCAAGACATCTTAGACATAAGTTTTATCTCAAAGCATCAATGAATTTTCAAAAGCTTCGTTATATTCGTTTCTCCACTTCTCTCAATATGGTTCATTATATATGTTGTCTTTAAAACGTGTTTCATAAATGAAGAATAGATTTTAAGTAAAATAAGTTAGTTTATCGCATGCCTAATACAGTTTTATTTACTGTTATATGACATGTTTCATTTTCATGCTGTGTCAATGAACTTATGAAACGCCTCTCGTTCAAAATTTACACATATGCTGTGCGAACTAAAGCAAAACTCAGTCAATGTGCCACACCCACTTGACAGTCCTTCTACAGCCGCTGCCATTGGTGTTGCTGCTTCTTCTTCTTCAGCTTCTTCCTCTTCTTCAACTGCTGCGACATGGCAACACTGTCAGTTTGAAAGGATTATTGCCACTTGCCGCTAGCGGCGAACGTTCTTAAATGTAACACGTTTGAAACAAGTTTAGATACGTGCGGCGCTCGTATCTTTTTTATATCCCATACCCATTGCAAATGAGTGCGTGAGTTGGGTATGCTGATTTCGTGGAGAGGCACTAGGAAGAAGGTGTATATTTATTTATCCTGCAATAGTTCGATGCATAAAAGTATTCCATTTTCTATTCGATGGAAAAAGTATAAACATAAATAATTTATTTAGTTTCGATAATCCATTCACAATGATGAGAAATACAGATCCACGAAATTCTTTTTAGCTTAAAATTATTTTCCTCTTTTGTTAAGCAACAACTAAATGTCTATGTCAAATCTATCCAGAGCGGATATTATTTACAGAGCACCTGACAGTCGAGCATTCTCTATGAGCGCGGGCTTGTTTGGTTTTGGTTTAGGGTCTTGGTTTGGGCCATCGCTTCTTTGGCTATGTAAAAAGTCATCAACGGCCCAGTTGGCCAGTCAGTCAGCCAGTCAGCCAGTTGGCCAGCCCGATAGCCCGAGATAGCGTACCCCCGCGCCAGTTCCCTGGTTCGGCCATCCATCCGTCCGGCTGGGCTAGGCAAAAGCCAAATGGCTGGCGACTGGTTTGACGGGCTTTTGAATGAGCCCGCGGTCGCTGTTGGCCACAATTTGCCCTCACTTCGCTGTTGAACCCCAGCCGAGTAGTCGTAAAAAAAAAAATTCGCGAAAAAAACGCAAACGCAAAATAAAGAAAAGAAAAAATTAAAACCGATAAAAAATAACACAAAAATGCACAACACTCAATTGTTAAAGTTTTGCGATGCTCTGAAGAAAAACAAGTGACATGCCGCAAACGAATGCGTGACGTGCACATACCCTGGAATTCTTCATTCAAATTCTCTGAGCAGGACTTCTCTATGGCGGGTACAGACACTAAACCTGGTGTAAAATTAATTGTCTTTACTTCTTTTACTTTTAATCCTTTTACTTTATATCCTTTATTTTTTAACGCAAGTGTACTATATTTTGTTTTCAATTGATATTCTACAAATATAGGGATACCATTAGTTTAGTATAGACAGGTATAGATTGTTATCTATCGCAGCAATGTATAATATTTCTAATTTCCAATGATTCTTTCCACATGTTACAAAAACTCTGAACATCAAATGCCGAATTCTTCGTCTGGCAAAAGCTTCTAAAAGTTCTTGACATCCACTGAAAGATTGATTAAAGACGCCGAAGTAATTCATCATGCGACTCACAGCGTGACAATAGAGAAATGGCACGAAACTGAGCTGTAGAAGACGTATTCCTATTTTGACACTCGTTAAATAATTGAGGTAGAGCAAAATTAAGGTTGAGTTGAAAAGAGGTCGTTAGCCCGGCAAGGATTTTTGAGAGAAGTCGAAGACTCTTTGTTGCTGGCTCAATTGGTTTTAGATAATCAATAGGATGAATGGATATTTTACAGCACGCACAAAGAAGAATAAGAACACGCGTATGAAAACAGGCAGCTCACAAAGATAAAATTCACAGATAATTCAATTATGGCACATTTAAGTTTGTGACTCGAATATATGAATATAATCATAATCATAATCAATTAGTTAAATATCAAGTTAATGCAAGGCTATCCACATCTGACCTGCAATTTCAGAGATATTTCACGTACAGGGTATTTAAATTAGTCTCTGTTCGAGGCAATTAACCAACACTGGATCCCAATTTCAAGCAAAGATTTTACGACTTACCTTAAATGCCATCTGCCAGCGTTCTTGTTGCATGTGCTTCTGCATCTGTGTGTGTGCCTCACATGTGAGTGGGTGTGTGTGTGTGCTTTTGCTTGTGTAGTTGTGTTTGCGGCTGCTGCTAGAAGTTGTTGTTGCTGTATATCCTGACGGCCATTTTTTGTTTGTACTTGTGCAGCAGTTGGCTTCAAGTTCTGCGATGCGTCTAAATTCACATTTTTTTTCTTTGTATTTTTTTTTATTGTTTTGCTAGTCAAAGTAACGGGTTTTAAGTTACCACTTTAGCTGCATTGCTTTTTTTTTTTTTTTTTTTTTGTATATTAATATTATTATTTCTATTGATTTACTAACACTTATTTTTGTTGTTGTTCGTTTTTGTTATTGACTGCAGGCTAAGCGGTATTTGCTCGCGGGTTTGGCTGCGGGTGTGCTATAAATCAAATTTTCTTTAAGCTTTTCGAAAGACCCCCACGCACTGACAAAAAGCAAAAAATAAAGAGCCAAACGGCAAATAGTTAAGTGAAATAAAGTGGGAGAAAAAATAACCGTATACAAATTGAAATGTAATGTACAAAAGTAGTGAAACCACTTGGCTCTAGTTTGAGCCCTGCTCATACTCTGTACGCAAAGGGAGCATCGGGTGGATAAGTTTTGAGATATGTCGCTTAGGAGACATCAATACTTTGACAGTTGACAGTTTGAATAATTTGAAATTCTTGAATATTAACAGCGTTATATTTGATTTCCATCTTCCCCTTTTCCGCGTCCATTTACATATCCAATGTGTCAATCAATACTGTGAAAATTCTCTTTGATCTTTGATAGAATCAACTTCGAGACAATTAAAGCAAGATTTCAGTGATCAAATCGGGCACAGTTTGAGAGTCACTTCTACAACAGAGCGAGTCCTTCCTCAACTATTTACAACTGTTAAACGGAATACAGAGAATTGCGTAGTCGGGAACCTTTGCTGGTTGTTTCTAACTTTCTGCTTTTTCTTCTATTTCATTTTATATTTGTTTCCTTTTTCGTTTTCTCTTTACGAAACAGCTGAAAAATAGCAGCAGCAGCAGCAACAGCAGAGACGCTGTCAAACCTTTGGAGAGCCGGTTTCAAATAAAACGAAAACGCAACGAAAAAAAAAAAAAAAACTACATACGATAAACAAGTTGCAAAAAAAGTCAACGTCTGGTTGCAAGTGACGTCGACGGTGAACTGAAGCGGTGCAGCAGCAGCTGATTGCGCAGCGCGTTACTAGAACTTGTGCAAAGGACCTGCAGCCAAGCTCTAAAAACGTTGGCAAAATGTCAACTTATGTAAAGCTTCCAGTAGCAGTGACGGCAGCAGAGGCAGAGGCAGAAGCGGCGGCAGCGACACTGTCGACAGTGACTGCAAAACAGAATAAAAAAATGTTTTCCGGCATTACTGCACATATAGCGATGTATGCGTGAGCGAGATGGCAGCAATGCAATTACTGGTCGAATTCGAAGTACATGTCTGTATGTATGCGTGTGTGTGTGTGTATACTGGCGCCTGCGCTGCGGCTGCACAGCTGAGAAGCTTCTGCTGCGCTGTTGCTAGGGGCTCGACTGCAAAAGCTCAGCTGTTTTGTGCAGGGTAATAGGGAATGGAAAAGGGGGGCCAACTGATTGCTGCTTGCCTGGAATTTCTATTCAGCTTGGCAACCCAGAAGTAACGGTCTTCTGGGCCAACGGTTTTTCCAATTGATTGCAACAATTGAAAATATGTAAAACAAATGCCATGAAAACTGGTTCGCAGCAGCAACGCACAGTGTGGCGAAAGCATCAAGCGCGTACGTCTGCGAAAGACCTTGCCAAAGGATGCACACAATAAGTGGCAAATGTATTTAACGTTCTCCTCGCACTCCTCTCATTTCACCCTTCAAGTCCACGCTATATGCAGTCAATTTTCGCAAAAACTTTGCTCTCTTAGAGAACGTTCTATCGTTCTCTCTCACTCTATCGCTTACGCTCTTGCTCTTGCGCTCGCATACCACAGTGCAAACCTGTTTTATTGTCTAAAGCATTTTTGCCGCCCGCCTGCCACACTGAGAACACTTGCCACCAAAAATGTTCCGTTTCTCAATTTTTTTTCGTGCTTATGTTGTTTGTTTTTATGTTTTTTGATTATGTTACTGCTGCTGCTTCGCTGCTTTTGGAGCTGCCGCTACCGTTTGTAGTGCTATTGTTGTTGCTGCTGCCTCTGCTGCCTCTGCTGCTTTTGTATAATTCAACGACACGCGACTACACCTACACATACGCACGCACGCGCTCGTTCGGACTTACATACACATACTAACATGAAACGGGAAAAATTACACGAGAGGCAGCACGACGGGCCCCACGTCCGCGCGCTATTGTGAGAAAAAGCGAACTGAGCACTCAAATCCGTTTGCAGTACGTTTGAAGCTCTTCGGCATTGGCAACATGTTCCACCAAATTAACCAACAACAAATTCTGCAACATTCGCTCTTCGTAACGAACACGAAACTCTTAAAACAGCCCTCTAACAATTCCCTGCAATTCTTGCACATATGTATGTATGTATGTAGATAATTGCACAATGGACATAGCACTAAGTTGATCATACAATGCAAATAAAACTGAACACAAACGAATAAGATATAAGTAATATACACACTGTAATAGATTAATTATTGCATTGTATTGCACATGAACTAAATTTAATTGAATTAAAAGAACGTTACATTTTAATACTTTATATGTTAATATAAGACCCGAAACAGTTCTATTATATAGTAAATAAAGCGCGCGCAAGCCGACACCCTAGAGCTGGGAAACCATCGATGCAACCATCGATTACATCGATGGATTTTAATTKTTATGATATATCGATGGACTTTTGTCGATATCGATATATCGCCGCTTTGAGTAACAAATCAAACATCACAGCAGTTGTAACGGACAATGCAGCCAGCATGATACGAGCGTGTGAAATATTACAAAAAAGACACTTTCCTTGCTTCACACACACGCTAAACCTGGTTGTTCAGGATTTAATGGGTGAAGTATTTATAAAAGAAATTGTCAGCAGTGTCAAAAGAATTGTCACGTTCTTTAAGAGCAGCTCTGTTGCAACCGCAAAATTTAAGAACGCTCAAAATACTGACAGCCCTTTAAATTTGCTGCAAGAAGTGCCGACAAGGTGGAACAGCGCGTTCTATATGCTGCAACGGGTCTTACAGACAAGGGAGCCGCTTATTGCGACACTTTTAAAATCGCAAAATGCGCCTACTCCCCTATCTGAAGACCATTTCCGCATTGTACAAGATTTATGCTCTGTTTTGGNACGCCCCCAGCTCGGCGAAAAAAGCATGTCTTGATAATTCACTGGCACTTTTATATTTTCTCTATATTTGTCTATATTCTTTATTATTATTCTGTAAATATGTACAAGGAAAAGTATGAAATTACAAGAGCTTTATTTACATTTATTTCTATTATGAAAAGTACGACTTTTATACAAATAACGTTTAAWATTTAAAAGGAAAAAATTTTCGATGGAACCATCGATATAATCGATTATTTTTTCCATCGATGGGAAAACCATCGATGGAGCCTTCCATCGATGGTTTCCCAGCTCTACGACACCCCTCTCCGACAGCTATGTCCGTACTAACCGTTGGTGCGTGCATCTGCTGACTCTACAGCTTAACAGTTTCGTTAAGATAACATTTCGTTAAGTGAATAACATAATGTTACTGAAATTGCCGCCAAATTTCAAAGTGAGTTTTATATTTATGTTTAATTTGTGATAATTTGCTATTTAATGTACACGAGCATAAATCAATAGGGAAAATCGACATAATCATTTCATTATAATTATTAGCTAATTAAGTCAAAATATACATATTTATATAAATATAGCTAATTAGGATAAGACAAAAAGGCGAATAAACATAAAGCACTTGTTAACAATTGCTTAGGGTTACATGAATGCATAAATATATAATTTTAATGTATTAAATATATATTTATATACAAAGGACGATGCGGTCCATGTTAACAGGTTTTCATATCATATATATATGAGCTATTTGCTAGAAGTAATCGTAATCGTAAATTCAAATACAAGCTCCAAGTAGTTGTATAGATAAATACATATATTATAATGATATAATATCTGGGTATTTATTTATATATATGTAATCGGTGATTTTGCCCTCGCTTAGCTTGGCCACATTTTTCTCTATTTTTTACCATTACTTGTTTATACTTTTCTCTAGTTTGATTGCACAACAAAATGAAACAGTTTATTTTGCCACGGAGGTATCAACTTTAAATAGATATACATAGTTATAGATAATATTTTCTGTAAGATTCTATTTTAATGGATCGGTTTGGTATGCATGTACAATATGATTAGATTTTTTATTTTTATTTTCGATTTTTCTATAAGTCGAAAGCATATTATATTCTGATGTCTAGTTTAGAGTTCCGACAATGCAGCTTTACTAAGCCTCTTTTGATCAGATTCAAAGCTTGAAGAATTGAATTATTTTAAATATTTTTATATTTGTTTAACTCAAATATCCTAACTATAGTATAGACAAAAGTAAACTAAACGTTCTCAGAGANTGTAATCGGTGATTTTGCCCTCGCTTAGCTTGGCCACATTTTTCTCTATTTTTTACCATTACTTGTTTATACTTTTCTCTAGTTTGATTGCACAACAAAATGAAACAGTTTATTTTGCCACGGAGGTATCAACTTTAAATAGATATACATAGTTATAGATAATATTTTCTGTAAGATTCTATTTTAATGGATCGGTTTGGTATGCATGTACAATATGATTAGATTTTTTATTTTTATTTTCGATTTTTCTATAAGTCGAAAGCATATTATATTCTGATGTCTAGTTTAGAGTTCCGACAATGCAGCTTTACTAAGCCTCTTTTGATCAGATTCAAAGCTTGAAGAATTGAATATTTTTATATATAAAAATATTTGTTTAACTCAAATATCCTAACTATAGTATAGACAAAAGTAAACTAAACGTTCTCAGAGATATGCATAAAAGTGTAGTTTCTTGAATTGATACGCATTTGAAGCAGTAATAAAATAAATTGTTCTGCATTTAATATATGTACAAAAAGTAATTAAAAGTGTGCATAAATCGCATATTATATATTCAGATTATTACATACATAATGCCTCTTAGATAAACACTACACAGGATATCTAGCTGTGTAATCTGCAAAGGAAAAAGGATATACAGTGTACATCAGTAGCTGAATCTGTATCTATATTCAGAATATTCTATCGAACTCCGTGGCAATCGAAAGAACTTTGCTGTTTCATCATAAGTTCTAATCATAGTTTAAGTGAATAAATGATTCAACGTATTGTGCAGAAAAGGTACTTTGAAGGGATTCGATTTGGTCATATATAGTAGTATATACTTGTGTGTGTATATCTCTCTATGGGCTGGCCTCTACGTTGACAAACGCATCTGGGCCATAGCCAAGGTATTGCGTTCCATTACCGCGCGCATTCGCTCCTTCAGATATTCGCAGATGGAGCCATAGTTCTCATGATGCGCCAACTCCATGGCCGTTAATCCGTCCTGATTTTTGAGCAGGACATCGCTTCCGGCTGCCACGAGTTGCTTGCACACCGTCATGTGACCAAACATCGCAGCCGCATGCAAAGCAGATTCCCCATTGGGCAATAGGCCCAGATTCGGGCGATACTTGAGCAGCACTGTGATCACCGAGGCGTGTCCCTTATGGGCGGCCTTAAACAGAGGCGTGGCACCGTCACAGCGCACCGTATCGATATTCGCTCCGTTCTGCAGAAGCACCTTGCATATGTGATCGTGCCCCATCTGGGCCGCTATCCACAGTGGGGTGGCTCCATCGATGCGCTTGATGTCCGTCGAAGCGTGGGCCAGGATCAGCAGCGACAAAACTGTTCGATGCCCATTCTGCGCAGCTATAAAAGCGGGTGTGGCACGATCCTGAATAAAAGCGAAAACAAACAGTTAATTAAAATTGTACGCAATGCGAGCCCAGTTGAAACAGTCGCACCTTCATGCTGGCATTCACATCCGCGCCACAGTCCAACAGCTCTCTGATGATCTTCACATGTCCGCCTTGGGCAGCTACAAATAGTGGCGTGCCTCCGTCCAGCGAGGGCGTGTCGACCTTTGCGCGCGCTTTCAGCAAAATCCGCACCACATCCAAGTGCCCGCCCTGGGCGGCAAAGAAGAGGGCGGTGGTGCCAGTGGAGCGGCGCGCGTTGAGATCGGCTCCCTGCTCGATGAGCTCGAGAACGCAGTGGATATGACCCCCAGCTGCGGCTAGAATAAGAGGCGTTGTACCGTCCTATAAATAGACCAGAGATAATACGTTTAGATGGCTTTAGAAAACAGTTCATTTTTGTATTGGTATGTAAACTACAGTGGGCATTTCGCATTCCAATTTGAAAAACAGGTCCTTTGCCTAATCTTTAATCTATTATACGATATATTCTTTCAGAGTTCAAATTAAGAAGTGAGAGTTCAAATTAAGAGTTCCAATAAGAATTTATACAAATATTTGTCTATATTTAAATTTCGTCCATATTCTTTCAATATTATTTTGAATATTATCATAGTTAATAATAAAGTAAGTAGTCAATAAAGTAAAAAGTTTTAGTCGACAGTGCCCGACTAGGAGCTCTAGCCTATCTGCATTTTACTAGATTGTATCCTTAAATATATGCATTTCTAGTCAGATACTTAAGTTAGTTAATGTGATCGAGGTACATAAAACTACTACTCCTTATGCCCTTGAGCTCCACTACTTATTCCTTTATGGAAAAATTTCTAAAAACAAAATGATATCTAATCTGAGTCAAATTTTTATATATATCGTAATAATAAATATTCTTCATATTAATGTTATTAATATTGGATTCAAAGTCTTCTTCTCCTAATTACAGCTTTTTAAAATTAGCCAAAATTGGAAATGATAAACTAAAGTAAAGTGACACAAAATGATATTATATAAGCTGTTTACGATTGGGAGCTAATCTACTAAAGCATGAAATCGTTCGCAAAATATTACAACATTTTCAGCTAACTAACAAAAATAAATATATTTCAACACTCGTTTTCACCTCAAAGACAAATTAACACGTTGTTTACAAATGCATGCACCAATTGGCAAAGAAAACGAATGCAAAAATACAAAAAAAAAAAAATAAATTTAAATTAAATAAAAATAAATTTTCACTTGAGGCGCAGTCAGCTGAATGAGCTTCAGGCAAATTCCAAAGCATAGTCGGCCAGGCCTGGTCAGTTGGCCATATTCTCTGAGTTGGCCTTAAACAACACACAAGGGCAAACACCCCCAACGCCCCGCTACGTGACTGTGCTTCCCCGAAGGGGCAGCTGCAGCTCGGACAGAGATTTGTGCTTTTCGCTCCGATTTCGCTCAGCTGCACGCATGCAAATCAACACGAAATGAAACGAAAAGCAAAGCCAACCAGACGTATATAGACTGATAAATACCCTGCAATAATCTGCATGTAAGTCTATCAAATTTATAATTGAAGAATTGTTCAAT